TTAATTTTCGATAATTTCACATTCCAATTTAAATTGTTACATAGATTCGCATTAGATCCTAAATGTACACCAAGTATTTCAATGGAGTTAGCTACACTTTTTGCATCAACATTATATTCATAGTCTAAATATTCACTTTTGCCAATAGGTAGAAGTTCTGATTTTGATTTATTGATTTTCGCCGCTGATGCATTGCAATATAATTCTAAAACATTAAAAACAGAGTTTACCGAGTCTAGCCAGCGTCCTACCCACCTAGCCACCGTGGCTCCCGAAGTATTGCATGTGTTGACAAGATAATGTTAAACCCCATTCCATATATATGTTTATGTTTTGCGATTATATACAATTTAATAGTGCCATAACAGCATTATATTCATTTTAAATTATAATTTCATGATTACGTTTTCTCTATTTTTTTATATGTCATATCAAATTTTCTACCAATTAAGTCAATGAAATGGGGTTTAACGTCCTACTTTTTTTCTTTGAAATAGTTTTGAAGAATCAGTTTTGTAACAAAAAATACACACAATGCCAATGTGTACACATGAGATTGTGTTTTTTGTCCCATCTATAACAGTAAACACTTCTTGGACAGGCCCTCCTTCCTACACTATACCGACCGGGAGAAACCGTGCTACGAAATGCCGGACAACTTTCTTGGCCAACACCAGCGTACATAATCCTTATATTCAGATGAGTAGTTTTTTCTTTGGAAAAAATTTGTAATGAATCATTATGAATTAAAAACCTCAAGTATAAAGACACATGATTCTAATATCAAGATTTTTTTTTTTTTTTTTTTTTTTTTTTCTACGAAAATATTTTGAATGCATCTTTTTTTTTTCTTTCAAAATAGTTTTGAAGAATCAGTTTGGTTACAAAAATACACATGATGTTTACATTCTCAAATATAATAAAAGACCCAAAACTAAAAAGTAGTTTTATTTTTTCAAGAAATGCAAGATAATCTGTAAGTCTAAAATGTAAGTACTTTTTCTAAATATAAAAGATGAAGTAAAAAATACCGTCTTCGTGTTATTATTAACTTCATAAATATAGGAAAGTTGTCTTAAAATTTCCAGTCGCTATCTCAATTACAATTATTACAAAATAATAACATCAAATATCAGTTCATGCATAGGCTTTGCAATGTGCTATGGCCCATGGAATCTATATTTTAAGTACTTTTTAAAAATATAAATAATGAATTAAAAAATACGGTCTTCGTGTTATTTTTAACTTCATAAATATAGGAAAGTTGTCTCAAATTTTCCAGTCGCTATCTCAAGTACAATTATTACAAAATAATAACATCTAATATCAGTTCATATGACTCTGCTTCATAAATAATAGCCAAGCCTTCGCGCATGCGATGTACAACTTAATTCATCGTCCAATGATAGATACTGCAGGGTCAGTTATCCATCTTACATACGATCTATGTTTATATACTTCATAAGTAAAGGGATGTCCAATTTACATCGTTGTTTCGGCCAGACACTCGTTTGTGCTGACTGCCAAAAATTCGATTTTAATATATGAGGACGAACACAAGTTACTGGCTTGTTTGCTACGAACTCGCGCCAAATATCAAAACTGATTCAAAGGTTTAGGGTTTTAGAAGTATAAAATACATGTTATAATTTTTTGCTGTTTTTGGAATCAGAATGATTTAAAAACTTATTATTTATATTTTTGCTTATATTATGTTTCAATATTTTTTTAATATTTAATATTTTATCATCAAAATTAATGAAGCTTGTGATGTCCTAAAAATAGAGTTATTTCCCCTTAACCATAGATACTCCAATTTCTAGAATGATTGAGCAGATCTTTATTCATGCAATTAATAGTATTACCGAAATCCAAAGTATAGTTTAATTTGATCATAAATTCATAGCATTGTGGAAAAACACTAAAAGAAGATAAATCGCTTTGATTTGTGTGGAAATAAAGCGTTTTTCCAGGCGCAAAAGTAAATAAAAGTCACAATGAATAAAATATACCCCAACTCACCCCCCCACACCCATACATAATCCCCCAATGTTCGAACAGTCTACATAGTTGACAACAAGATAGGACACATAATGGTTGCCACGGAATATTTTTAATATGTTTTTGCTGTCGCCGGAATATTTATAAATTGGTGATCGTCTATCTTGCCCGAGAGATACATTTGCATATTGCAATTCTGAATGTAGCAACATCGGATCACAACGATAACACGTTAGAATGATGTTTTCAATGAGGTATAAGAGAGAGAGAGAAATGGGGTTTAACGTCCACTCGACACAAACTAGGTCATTTCGGGACTAACATATGGTTTTTCTTTTAAATTTTTTATTTCAATAATTCGCTTGCACATAGGGGTCTTTAGCAGTGGGAGGAAACCGGAGGACCCGGAGAAAACCCACGAGGTTGGACAGGCGACCCTACTCCTTGTCACGTACAACCGGGGATTCGAAACAACGCCAGTCGACTCAATGACAGACTTTATGATACAGCGCGCGCACGCTAACCATTCAGCCATCCACCCCCCACCCCCCCAATGAGGTATAAACGGAACCTGATTAATACACGGATCCTATAGCTCAAAGCTTCATCTTGCTTTAACTCTTGTCAAACCCTTCACGTAAAAATAATATCGATTGGCTACTCATCCACCGGGGGAGCTCTCAGATTCCCTGATAGAAGGGGATCACGTGGCTAAGTGGGTAAGACGCTGGCTCGCTAGCGTGGAGGTCGGGTGTTCGATCCCTGCATTGGCCGAGAAAGTTCATCCAGATTTTCAGGCGTGGTTCCCCCTTGTCAGTGATGTAGGACGGAGGGCCTGACAAGGAGAGCTGTCTAGTCCTTCGGATATGACGAAAAACCGAGGTCCCGTGTATATATTGGAATGCACGTAAAAGATCCCCCGGCAGTTGGAATTCGATATAAGAGTAGGCGTATGCCCGTCTTCATTAGCCCAGTATAGGAGCAGAACAGTAGGACGTTAAACCCCATTTCATTTCATTTCCCTGATAGAAAATACCAATGCGAATACCAAGTCTCGCTCTTTCCAGCTAATGTGTCTACCGGTGATAATCCAGTTGCAAAGTTCAAGGTTCGTTCAATGTTAAGCGGGGTGTTGGATGGCCGAATGGAGCACGTGCGTGCTGTATCATAAAGCCTGTCATTGAGTCAAGTGGCGTGGTTTCGAATCCTCGGTTGTACGTGACAAGGAGTTTTCTCCCACTTCTAAAGACCCCTACGTCGAGTGGACGTTAAAACCACATCTCTCTCGGTCTCTCTCTCTCAATGTTAAGGTTTCCATGGAGGTCGCCATGTTTGATTTGAGTGTGTTTGTATCACGGCCTTTGATTGGACAAGGCTAATGTTCAGTAGTAAAAGGAGATGAAGTACGTGTAATTTGTTCTGGTATTTCTGACTAGGTTAGCAGCGGCAAGATGTAAAATTCGCGGTCGTTGCTTCATTAACATGATGATGCCCTGACTATTGGAAATCGAAGTAAGAGAAAGTGGTAAAGGTTGTAATAAATCATGTAGTATAAATGGTATACGATTGGCACATTTATGTATTTTAAATAGATATAACTGATTAGTGACTTTAATTTGTTGATGTTTGCCTGCTAGAAAGGGAAATTTTTCATTGAAATTTATTACTAATTTGGAATTCTGAAATTCAAAAGAAATGTTATTCATTGAAATTTCATCAAATTTTGATTTAAAGGTTAATTTCAAGATATAGAATTTCAAAAACTTTTCATTTTATCATCGAAGCTATCTGGACTAAGCTCACCAAATTGTTCTATACCGTCACTAGGGCGAAAGTTATTTTTAGTCTTTCTCTCTCTTTACCATTTTGCCCCTTTTGCATGGCGATTTTTGTTGACTTTTTGGTGTAGAATGGAATAAAAGGATTGGAAAATGCATTTTCTGCCAGGTTTTGGTGAATATTCATGATTTTGACGCGGAAGGATCCAAGAGTTGAGAGGTAGGTTAGGTTGAAATGTAGGGTCAAAAATCGCATGTTTTATTATCTCTACTTCCAGGTTATGTATCTCAAGTTTTCCATAGTGAACCTCATACGTGCTTTTGGGCAAGAGGTTGCCACATGTTGCTCCATCTCTGGTAGAAAGCGTTCTACCCAACGAAAATTTGGGGAAAACTTAGAGCCGGTCTAAGAGACGAGAAATAACATTAAAGTCAATGGGGAAAACATTAGTGGTCTGTAGCTTGTCTTAGTCTGCGGTTTTGCAAAATAGAGTTACTTCCCATTATAATTTGTAATGCAATGAAATTTGATTTAACGTCCTACTTTTCTGCTCAGACTGGGCGAATGAAGACGGACATACTCCATACAGTGTGCTATGGGGACATTTTGCCCAGACAGCGGCGCTACAGTCTACTTTTATATCGCATTCCAATTGTCACGGGATATTTTACGTACACGCCTCGGGTTTCCGTGTCATCCGAACAACTAGACAGTTGTCCGTGACAGTCCCTACGTCCTGAACCACTGATAAAGGGAAAACACGCCAGAAAATCCAGATGAACTTTCTCGGCCATTACATTTTATAAAAAGGTACAACTTTATATCTCCTTCGCCGATCTTGTTCACATTGTACACAGATCAATCGCTTGAAGCCCTAACAGTACAACATAACAGTCTTTGGTAAGTCAAGATTTGAGCTTACTATTGATATGTCTATCAGATTTACAGTCATTTTGAAAAGTCTCCCGCGAATTTCCGTGTTCCAAAACAACCTACATGGCCATATTTTCTAGTGCAGGTGTCGATAATATTAATAAAAGGTGCTTTTTAGTTTCCAGAAGATTAAAATAAAATCGATACTTTATTCCAGTAAGTAGTTGTTACATTATTGTAACATTATTGAAGTATATATTTTCATCTTACAAACACATAAAGAATGAAATTTTCTTCATCACTTATCTTACATAATGGACAAAGAGTATTATTTTCGATATTAATTTCCTTAGATATATTTGTAAATCGTGTAATAGATTAAGTCGCATGTTGAAAGTGACCATCCAGTCTCTGCCCCGCTGTTTCATTAATCATTTAAAAAAAAACCTTTTTCACCCAATATGATACTGAATCAATAAGATTGTCTTTTATGACTGAATAAACCGTGGCGTCTTTGTCACACAAAAGTGTTATGGTAATATCTGCTTGCCATTTTACCACACACACGACCTAATATATCACAAATGAAACCACAGTTATTTATAATATCTGTGCACTTCTTCAAATAAAAGTATGTCCCACATACTGATTCAACTGGCCAGGAAGTCGCTACGAAATGTGTTACAGTGCGCACTACCATTTGGACTGCTTCCTTCAAGAATTCAAATATGTTCGATAGAAAACCTGTTACGGAACGCCTTTGAAGACCTAAAATAACAAATAGATTAAAGTTAAAGGAGCTAAATCGCTAATATTTTGGATCTAGAAATTGACACAAATGGGTCGCAACGCATATAATGATGTAATGTGAATGTATATAAACTGTTTTACATTCAATCGTTTCTCTTTTTATTGCAATTTCTAATCAGTTATGTTCGGCGAAATACGTCAGAAGTCTCAATCGAATGGCAATCTCTAGCGCCTAGTTATTCCACTCTATACCGAATTTATTGCGAATGCTCTCCAGATAAGAATATGGCGTCACCGATTGACATGACTTGTGGAATATATCTAGCCTCTTTCTATACGAGTCCCTTGTTAAAAATGGCGCTGAAATGCACCATGGTACACGATTCGTGTACCAACGGTAAAATGTTTATTTTCTCTTAATTATTGGATATCAGAAGCCCATCTTTTCCCCGTAAGGTCACAACACCAATGTTGATTTAAATTGACAAATAATTCGTTTTTTCAATGTCGATGACTTTGGATGATATTGAGTTAAAGACTTAGCTACTTTAAATGCCGTTTTATCATCCTCACAAAATCAGTGTATTGATTAGCCCTATAATCGTTTGACGATGATCTAGGTGGGAGTAGTCAATTTTAAGCATCCTGTCCGTCGCATCCCCAACTTCCCAGAAAACATTCCATAGTTAAACAGTTACAAATTCATTCGTCTCTTAGGCTCGGGAAATTCGGGGTCCTTGCATGTTACCCATTAGACTACGCAGTGATTATATCTATTGAAGACTAAGATTATTCGCTGCTTTCTGTTTTAAGAGAAATGACCATTTTCAATTTTAAAATAAATATAATTTATTGTACATGTATATGGCATTTCATTCAAGATATCACTAGACTCAAATAACGATGCATGAATGGCGTAACAAGGTTTATATATAATTTTAAAACGAAACGGAGTATTGATTATAAATAAATTCTACCCCCTACCAAGCCTGGAGATGGTTTATAATTTGAAAGTAGAACTTACATATTTACCATAGCATTCTACTTCAGACATTAATAACATCAAAACACATACACATAATATGGACCCTTTCTTCATTTTCTGAAAAAAAGAACAAGTTTGTTTTTCAGCCGGATATAGCATTTAACACAGTTTTACACGCCAGTGAATAGCTGATCGAGGGGTGATAGTTTTGTTTGAACAGTCACCACTAGGAGCAACATTTTCACATACTTTTTGTCTGCGATATCACTGTCAAGTGAAGCAGATTTTAAATAGCCAGAATGCAAGCCATTATTTTAATCAGTCGTGGCATATCCTGAACAGCCATGTGTATAGACAAGAGAAAGTATGTACGCTAGGTTTAAGACAACTCTTCGGAGATTCCTATATAATAGGCATGAGTAACATACAAGATTAACCAAGGGTCAACTGAATTTAAGTACAGATTACTATCCTGGGTATCACTTCAGAACGATACCAAATCAATCAGAGGACAAATAATGGAAGTAATGTTTTCAGCATTGCTTACCTTTATTTCCAGCGTCGATCTCCTTTGTCTAACGTTTTAAATCTAATATAATATATGTTTAATACTACTTTAAATTGAATACAACGGGTGTAACCAATATAATATGTCAGTAACTCATGACGTGTAACCTGCTCCTGGCGATTCAAGGAAAGAAATGGGTAATTTTTGTCTACTTTCACTTTTGATTTATTGTACGTAAAACTCTTAAAACTATGTAACACTGTCAATTTGAACTCGGTTGTATTAATTGCTAGTATACCAAAACAAAACGGTTTTTTTACCCCCCAACAAATATATTCAAACCGACATTACCTCTATTTTGAAACTAGCTAAACCTGATCTTTATTCATCAAAGTTTATATTTATTTTGAATTCCCTAATTATTTTCAAACCGTTTAGCCTATCCAGTGTGGAAGTTGCTAGTTGGGAGTTATGATTAGCACAATTTTAAATTCTTTCATTAAAGAGATTATGTTTATCAGATGGATGTGGCATTTTAGAGGAATTTTAGAATGCTGGAGTAGTTTGTCGGCGATATCACTTCGGTGGAAACGGAGAAATAAAGATATTTCACAGACAAGCTGGAGTAAAGGTAGCGCTGGCCTCTGGAATCCACGTCTGTCAGCAAGTAGTAGTCGGTACCTGTGTACGAAGTAAAGTATCCTTAAATCTTTAAATCACTTCATACCACTTCCGATTTCCGGAATTCTTGTACCGAACTTCGGTGGTACTTTTATATATAAATAGTACAACCTTTTTGTCATTTTATATTAAAGAATTAAAACTCAAGATATTTTTTTATGAATGTAACTGTCAGTCATTGCTTATGTGAAATTGCTGTGTAAATGATTAACAGTTCTTTGATGAATGCGGTTTGAGTTGGCACAAGAACTTCCATTCCATGTGATAGCCGCTGGTTTTTGCTCAGAATATGAACTATGTATGAGATTTATAGACCCTCCAGATATGACGTAATAAACCGTATGCCTTTGTCTAATATAACGCAGTTTGATTGGCTATTGCATCAGTTGGTCGAGGCCTTTCTCACGCTCGGTATACAATAAAGGCGCATAGTCCACACGATAAATAACCCGACTTTCTCTAGACTGGAAGTAGGTCCTCAATATGTGCACATGAAACTAACGTGTGCACGTATTTCAGTGACTTCTGTCCTGACCAAGTGCACAGATTTTTTTTGCATGGAGGGCATTGCCTTTTACCAGAAGGAGACTGGAACTTATTTGATGAACTGCTCCGACTTCCCTCAACCTTTCTTTATTACTTTCAAACGTGCCATATCGACGGTCGGTTGAATACTGAACAACAAAAACTAAAAGATCAAAAGCCGCTGAAGAATGTTTACAACATGCATTGGGGTGTTTTATAACTAATTCATAAAGAACATGATGTGCTGAATGGTGTTCACGGGGGAAATTGCCGTCTGAAAAACAACCCTAACTCATGGTCCACAATTTAAATAAGTGCCTAGTCTTACCCATGACCCACCCACAGTGTCCACAAGTCTTATGCGGGACCTATTGTGATCCATGATCAACCTAGAGTGCCCCACTATATTTATGTGTGCCCTAGAGTGACCCATTACCCACCTAGAGTTCCATACAATTTGTATGCATTGTCTGGCCTAACCCATGACCCACCTAACAATTTTTGTGTGCTTCCTAGGGTTTTTAGGTTGTTTTTTGGGTTTTTTTTTAAATTGCTGTATACTATAGTCATTTTCATAGTATATCTGCGGGCACCTACTAGATAACTACTACTGATGTTTAATTGAAATAGACATGGCTTCACATGTTATTAGGGTTTATTGTTGGTGACTACTTATAGAGCTTAATTTTGAAGAATGGAAAATTATCTAATCTACACAATCTTTCAATTAATTGTGAGGTGGTAAATCTAAAGATGTCAATTGACAAGAGATGAATGAGATGAGTACATACCTAAAAATACAGTTATCTAGTTATCTAGTAGGTGTTTGCAGATATACTATGAAAATGACTATAGTATACAGCAATTTAAAAAAAAACCCAAAAAACAACCTAAAAACCCTAGGAAGCACACAAAAATTGTTAGGTGGGTCATGGGTTAGGCCAGACAATGCATACAAATTGTATGGAACTCTAGGTGGGTAATGGGTCACTCTAGGGCACACATAAATATAGTGGGGCACTCTAGGTTGATCATGGATCACAATAGGTCCCGCATAAGACTTGTGGACACTGTAGGTGGGTCATGGGTAAGACTAGGCACTTATTTAAATTGTGGACCATGAGTTAGGGTTGTTTTTCAGACGGCAATTTCCCCCGTGAACACCATTCAGCACATCATGTTCTTTATGAATTAGTTATAAAACACCCCAATGCATGTTGTAAACATTCTTCAGCGGCTTTTGATCTTTTAGTTTTTGTTGTTCAGTATTCAACCGACCGTCGATATGGCACGTTTGAAAGTAATAAAGAAAGGTTGAGGGAAGTCGGAGCAGTTCATCAAATAAGTTCCAGTCTCCTTCTGGTAAAAGGCAATGCCCTACATGCAGAAAAAAATCTGTGCACTTGGTCAGGACAGAAGTCACTGAAATACGTGCACACGTTAGTTTCATGTGCACATATTGAGGACCTACTTCCAGTCTAGAGAAAGTCGGGTTATTTATCGTGTGGACTATGTGCATTTTTTGTATACCGAGCGTGAGAAAGGCCTCGACCAACTGATGCAATAGCCAATCAAACTGCGTTATATTAGACAAAGGCATACGGTTTATTACGTCATATCTGGAGGGTCTATAAATCTCATACATATACACAGCAATTTCACATAAGCAATGACTGACAGTTACATTCATAAAAAAATATCTTGAGTTTTAATTCTTTAATATAAAATGACAAAAAGGTTGTACTATTTATATATAAAAGTACCACCGAAGTTCGGTACAAGAATTCCGGAAATCGGAAGTGGTATGAAGTGATTTAAAGATTTAAGGATACTTTACTTCGTACACAGGTACCGACTACTACTTGCTGACAGACGTGGATTCCAGAGGCCAGCGCTACCTTTACTCCAGCTTGTCTGTGAAATATCTTTATTGTCCGCTTCCACCGAAGTGATATCGCCGACAAACTACTCCAGCATTCTAAAATTCCTCTAAAATGCCACATCCATCTGATAAACATAATCCCTTTAATGAAAGAATTTAAAATTGTGCTAATCATAACTCCCAACTAGCAACTTCCACACTGGATAGGCTAAACGGTTTGAAAATAATTAGGGAATTCAAAATAAATATAAACTTTGATGAATAAAGATCAGGTTTAGCTAGTTTCAAAATAGAGGTAAAGTCGGTTTGAATATATTTGTTGGGGGGTAAAAAAAACGTTTTGTTTTGGTATACTAGCAATTAATACAACCGAGTTCAAATTGACAGTGTTACATAGTTTTAAGAGTTTTACGTACAATAAATTAAAAGTGAAAGTAGACAAAAATTACCCATTTCTTTCCTTGAATCGCCAGGAGCAGGTTACACGTCATGAGTTATTGATATATTATATTGGTTACACCCGTTGTATTCAATTTAAAGTAGTATTAAACATATATTATATTAGATTTAAAACGTTAGACAAAGGAGATCGACGCTGGAAATAAAGATAAGCAATGCTGAAAACATTACTTCCATTATTTGTCCTCTGATTGATTTGGTATCGTTCTGAAGTGATACCCAGGATAGTAATCTGTACTTAAATTCAGTTGACCCTTGGTTAATTCTATGACTACCCCCTTTAAATTATGGGTGTACCTTTAATTCGATTGAACTTAGTATATAACATAACTTGCAGCAGATGTTTCTTGTCCTGGTGAATACGAGATTCGGGTAAGTAAAACAAGTGTATATCATCCTCCTCATATTATAAGTAATCTTGTATGTTACTCATGCCTATTATATAGGAATCTCCGAAGAGTTGTCTTAAACCTAGCGTACATACTTTCTCTTGTCTATACACATGGCTGTTCAGGATATGCCACGACTGATTAAAATAATGGCTTGCATTCTGGCTATTTAAAATCTGCTTCACTTGACAGTGATATCGCAGACAAAAAGTATGTGAAAATGTTGCTCCTAGTGGTGACTGTTCAAACAAAACTATCACCCCTCGATCAGCTATTCACTGGCGTGTAAAACTATATGTTAAATGCTATATCCGGCTGAAAAACAAACTTGTTCTTTTTTTCAGAAAATGAAGAAAGGGTCCATATTATGGGTATGTGTTTTGATGTTATTAATGTCTGAAGTAGAATGCTATGGTAAATATTTAAGTTCTACTTTCAAATTATAAAACATCTCCATGCTTGGTAGGGGGTAGAATTTATTTATAATCAATACTCCGTTTCGTTTTAAAATTATATATAAACCTTGTTACGTCATTCATGCAACGGTGGGTTTGATCGAAGAGATCTGGTAAAAATCTTCCAGTTAGTTGATTTGTATGGCTGACAGTAGTCCAATCGTTGCTGGGGAAATTGCGGTAATGTTCAAACGTTATTTGAGTCTAGCGATATCTTGAATGAAATGCCATATACATGTACAATAAATTATATTTATTTTAAAATTGAAAATGGTCATTTCTCTTAAAACAGAAAGCAGTGAATAATCTTAGTCTTCAATAGATATAATCACTGCGTAGTCTAATGGATAACATGCAAGGACCCCGTATTTCTCGAGCCTAAGAGACGAATGAATTTGTAACTGTTTAACTATGGAATGTTTTCTGGGAAGTTGGGGATGCGACGGACAGGGTGCTTAAAATTGACTACTCCCACCTAGATCATCGTCAAACGATTATAGGGCTAATCAATACACTGATTTTGTGAGGATGATAAAACGGCATTTAAAGTAGCTAAGTCTTTAACTCAATATCATCCAAAGTCTTCGACATTGAAAAAACGAATTATTTGTCAATTTAAATCAACATTGGTGTTGTGACCTTACGGGGAAAAGATGGGCTTCTGATATCCAATAATTAAGAGAAAATAAACATTTTACCGTTGGTACACGAATCGTGTACCATGGTGCATTTCAGCGCCATTTTTAACAAGGGACTCGTATAGAAAGAAGCTAGATATATTCCACAAGCCATGTCAATCGGTGACGCCATATTCTTATCTGGAGAGCATTCGCAATAAATTCGGTATAGAGTGGAATAACTAGGCGCTAGAGATTGCCATTCGATTGAGACTTCTGACGTATTTCGCCGAACATAAGTGATTAGAAATTGCAATAAAAAGAGAAACGATTGAATGTAAAACAGTTTATATACATTCACATTACATTATTATATGCGTTGCGACCCATTTGTGTCAATTTCTAGATCCAAAATATTAGCGATTTAGCTCCTTTAACTTTAATCTATTTGTTATTTTAGGTCTTCAAAGGCGTTCCGTAACAGGTTTTCTATCGAACATATTTGAATTCTTGAAGGAAGCAGTCCAAATGGTAGTGCGCACTGTAACACATTTCGTAGCGACTTCCTGGCCAGTTGAATCAGTATGTGGGACATACTTTTATTTGAAGAAGTGCACAGATATTATAAATAACTGTGGTTTCATTTGTGATATATACTATTCCAAAAAAGTAGGGGATATTTGATTTTGGGGGCATAATACTAAAATATGCAAATGACTACGAATAAAGTCACTATAGAACCTAACAGAAGAAACATTTCCAGTTACATGTGACGCCCAAACGCACCAATAGCTACCGCATGGAATGCAGGTGATGCTTGGGATCATCATGGGGGTCCAACCCAAGATTTGCACGACTCTGACTTTGAATGTTACAGTCATTGTGGCATTGAATTCCAGGGTGGAAACATCAGTTTAATTGTTTTAGTGACCAGAAAACAAATTTTGATATGCGTCGGCTTACCCAAAATGAAAGGTTACGTGCCCTTGGCATGCTACAGATCGGCACAACACAGGCGGTTGTGGCGCGGACGATGAATGTTTCTCAGTCTGTCATAAGCAGGCTATAGTCCAGATACCGTGATACACAATCTGTACAGGACAGACCACGCCCATGTCGACCAAGGGCGACAACTCAAGCCCAGGATCGATTTATCCGTACCTTGGCCTTGAGAAATCGTGTCATCACAGCAAATCAGATCAGCGCTCGTCTTCAAACAGACACTGGTGTGAGAGTGAGTGGCCAGACGATTCGGAATCGACTGCATAGGGGTCAACTTCGCGCCCGACGTCCTCGTGTGATCCCTTGTTTGAGAGATCATCACATTCAGGCAAGACGTCGTTGGTGTAGGGATCGTCAACACTGGGATAATCGACGCTGGAGCAATGTGATGTTTTCAGATGAGTCAAGGTTCACTGTTGATTTTTTGGACAGACGTAGGAGGGTGTGGCGTCGTCGAAACGAGCGCTTCCAAGACGTTAACGTCATCAGACATGATCGATTTGGGGGTGGTTCTGTTATGGTGTGGGGAGGCATCACTGTTGCTGGAAGAACGGCTTTACATGTTGTTGCAGGGCGTGTTACAGGCCAGTACTACCGGGACAACATCTTGGCAGTCCATGTTGTGCCGTTCGCACGACGTCATGGCCGCCGTTTCATCTTCCAGGATGACAACGCAAGATGTCACAGGGCCAGGATCGTTACAGGTTACCTCCAACAACAGAACATCACCACATTACCTTGGCCAGCACTGAGTCCCGACCTCTCCCCCATCGAGCATGTCTGGGACATGCTTGGACAGAGGTTACGTCAACGTCAACAACGTCCTGCCAATGTCCAAGAACTTGCTGCTGCGTTGCAACAGGAATGGGACAATCTGGACCAAAATGACCCTAGACGTCTCATTAGGAGTATGCCACGTCGGATCAATGCTTGTTTGGCAAACAGAGGAGGATTTACCCGTTACTGACTTGGTTGTGATGCTGTGGTAACTTTGCTGTTTGACCCCGGGTATCATTTTACCCTTATAATGGTCAGTCTGTGCCTTACTTAGTCTAACGATCATTTGGAATAAATCGATGAATGTGAACTTCATTTCATTTTGTCATTTGTTTCTTCGTCAGTTTCATTAGGTGACTTTAATAACACTTAAAAATCAAATATCCCCTACTTTTTTGAATAGTATATTAGGTCGTGTGTGTGGTAAAATGGCAAGCATATCAGATATTACCATAACACTTTTGTGTGACAAAGACGCCACGGTTTATTCAGTCATAAAAGACAATCTTATTGATTCAGTATCATATTGGGTGAAAAAGGGTATTTTTAAATGATTAATGAAACAGCGGGGCAGAGACTGGATGGTCACTTTCAACATGCGACTTAATCTATTACACGATTTACAAATATATCTAAGGAAATTAATATCGAAAATAATACTCTTTGTCCATTATGTAAGATAAGTGATGAAGAAAATTTCATTCTTTATGTGTTTGTAAGATGAAAATATATACTTCAATAATGTTACAATAATGTAACAACTACTTACTGGAATAAAATATCGATTTTATTCTAATCTTCTGGAAACTAAAAAGCACCTTTTATTATCGACACCTGCACTAGAAAATATGGCCATGTAGGTTGTTTTGGAACACGGAAATTCGCGGGAGACTTTTCAAAATGACTGTAAATCTGATAGACATATCAATAGTAAGCTCAAATCGTGACTTACCAAAGACTGTTATGTTGTACTGTTAGGGCTTCAAGCGATTGATCTGTGTACAATGTAAACAAGATCGGCGAAGGAGATATAAAGTTGTACCTTTTTATAAAATGTTTAATCATCTGATCAAACCATACTCTTATGATTTTCTACTATAATTTTCGAAAAAAACATTTTTATTTTCCAAATCATTCGTACCACACATTATTTAAGAAACATTACGTAATGGCCGAGAAAGTTCATCTTGATTTTCTGGCGTGGTTTCCCTTTATCAGTGGTTCAGGACGTAGGGACTGTCACGGACAACTGTCTAGTTGTTCGGATGATACGGAAACCCGAGGCGTGTACGTAAAATAACCCGTGACAATTGGAATGCGATATAAAAGTAGACTGTAGCGCCGCTGTCTGGGCAAAATGTCCCCATAGCACACTGTATGGAGTATGTCCGTCTTCATTCGCCCAGTCTGAGCAGAAAAGTAGGACGTTAAATCAAATTTCATTGCATTACAAATTATAATGGGAAGTAACTCTATTTTGCAAAACCGCAGACTAAGACAAGCTACAGACCACTAATGTTTTCCCCATTGACTTTAATGTTATTTCTCGTCTCTTAGACCGGCTCTAAGTTTTCCCAAAATTTTCGTTGTGTAGAACGCTTTCTACCAGAGATGGAGCAACATGTGGCAACCTCTTGCCCAAAAGCACGTATGAGGTTCACTATGGAAAACTTGAGATACATAACCTGGAAGTAGAGATAATAAAACATGCGATTTTTGACCCTACATTTCAACCTAACCTACCTCTCAACTCTTGGATCCTTCCGCGTCAAAATCATGAATATTCACCAAAACCTGGCAGAAAATGCATTTTCCAATCCTTTTATTCCATTCTACACCAAAAAGTCAACAAAAATCGCCATGCAAAAGGGGCAAAATGGTAAAGAGAGAGAAAGACTAAAAATAACTTTCGCCCTAGTGACGGTATAGAACAATTTGGTGAGCTGTGTCCAGATAGCTTCGATGATAAAATGAAAAGTTTTTGAAATTCTATATCTTGAAATTAACCTTTAAATCAAAATTTGATGAAATTTCAATGAATAACATTTCTTTTGAATTTCAGAATTCCAAATTAGTAATAAATTTCAATGAAAAATTTCCCTTTCTAGCAGGCAAACATCAACATATTAAAGTCACTAATCAGTTATATCTATTTAAAATACATAAATGTGCCAATCGTATACCATTTATACTACATGATTTATTACAACCTTTACCACTTTCTCTTATTTCGATTTCCAATAGTCAGGGCATCATCATGTTAATGAAGCAACGACCGCGAATTTTACATCTTGCCGCTGCTTACCTAGTCAGAAATACCAGAACAAATTACACGTACTTCATCTCCTTTTACTACTGAACATTAGCCTTGTCCAATCAAAGGCCGTGATACAAACACAATCAAACATGGCGACCTCCATGGAAACCTTAACATTGAGAGAGAGAGAGATGTGGTTTTAACGTCCACTCGACGTAGGGGTCTTTAGAAGTGGGAGAAAACTCCTTGTCACGTACAACCGAGGATTCGAAACCACGCCACTTGACTCAATGACAGGCTTTATGATACAGCGCGCACGTGCTCCATTCGGCCATCCAACACCCCGCTTAACATTGAACGAACCTTGAACTTTGCAACTGGATTATCACCGGTAGACACATTAGCTGGAAAGAGCGAGACTTGGTATTCGCATTGGTATTTTCTATCAGGGAAATGAAATGAAATGGGGTTTAACGTCCTACTGTTCTGCTCCTATACTGGGCTAATGAAGACGGGCATACGCCTACTCTTATATCGAATTCCAACTGCCGGGGGATCTTTTACGTGCATCCCAATATATACACGGGACCTCGGTTTTTCGTCATATCCGAAGGACTAGACAGCTGTCCTTGTCAGGCCCTCCGTCCTACATCACTGACAAGGGGGAACCACGCCTGAAAATCTGGATGAACTTTCTCGGCCAATGCAGGGATCGAACACCCGACCTCCACGCTAGCGAGCCAGCGTCTTACCCACTTAGCCACGTGATCCCCTTCTATCAGGGAATCTGAGAGCTCCCCCGGTGGATGAGTAGCCAATCGATATTATTTTTACGTGAAGGGTTTGATAAGAGTTAAAGCAAGATGAAGCTTTGAGCTATAGGATCCGTGTATTAATCAGGTTCCGTTTATACCTCATTGGGGGGGTGGGGGGTGGGGGGTGGATGGCTGAATGGTTAGCGTGCGCGCGCTGTATCATAAAGTCTGTCATTGAGTCGACTGCGTTGTTTCGAATCCCCGGTTGTACGTGACAAGAAGTAGGGTCGCCTGTCCAACCTCGTGGGTTTTCTCCGGGTCCTCCGGTTTCCTCCCACTGCTAAAGACCCCTATGCGCAAGCGAATTATTGAAATAAAAAATTTAAAAGAAAAACCATATGTTAGTCCCGAAATGACCTATTTGTGTCGAGTGGACATTAAACCCCATTTCTCTCTCTCTCTTATACCTCATTGAAAACATCATTCTAACGTGTTATCGTTGTGATCCGATGTTGCTACATTCAGAATTGCAAGATAGACGATCACCAATTTATAAATATTCCGGCGACAGCAAAAACATATTAAAATATTCCGTGGCAACCATTATGTGTCCTATCTTGTTGTCAACTATGTAGACTGTTCGAACATTGGGGGATTATGTATGGGTGTGGGGGGGTGAGTTGGGGTATATTTTATTCATTGTGACTTTTATTTACTTTTGCGCCTGGAAAAACGCTTTATTTCCACACAAATCAAAGCGATTTATCTTCTTTTAGTGTTTTTCCACAATGCTATGAATTTATGATCAAATTAAACTATA